CCTAATATAATATAATATAATAAAAAATATGAAAAATACAATACATTTAGAGGTCTAATGCTAATAGCGGGTAATCTTAGGGCGACCCGTTAATCGCGCTAGAACTATATTAAGTTAAATGTAGTAGTTTATAAAATACTATCTTATAAGTTACACTTATTATCACTTAATTTTATAGTAAGTAAATGTATCTTTTTAAATTTAGCTTCTTATTAGATATATATCCCTGCAGATACTCGATTAGAGCCTTATCGCAGTCTAGGGGATACTTTGCGTCGGTGAGCCAGCATGTGCTTATTACCAGGCAGAAGAATATCACGCTACAAACGGTATATATAACTTTCCTGGGGCGGGAATAATGCTTCAGATATAACCCGTTATAAGCGAACTGGATTAGCCCATGCTTCGACCTACGTCAAAAAGTGTACAAGCGTCTTCCAGGTTGGCTGGCCAACGACACGTGACCAAATATGTCTTCTTGCTTACACGACTGCTTGTGTCATTACTTTTGGGGGCCCCTTGGTGAATCGGCGGCCCGGGCCCTGCCTCGCCACGGTAACATGCCTTTAACAATTCAATGTTCCTTCTCATTTTTTCTTCTTGCTATTTCTCCCTGGCCCGCCCATTGTGGCTGAATGGTCATGATGGAGTGACAATGACCCCGTCCACACACCACCACGCTGTTGACGGCAGTCCTTGGGTGTCTGCGGAGTAAAACTGTCTTCTTTACTCCGTACTCCGTAGGACAAAGTAAAGTCTCTTACGGAGATGTTACCTAATGAGAACTAAGAAATAAGCAGGTATATGCGCGCCCATTGACTTATTATTATAGTAATAGTATTATTAATAGTTTTTAGTACATGAATTAGCAGCGCCTTTGGCCAAGATACAGGTAGAAAATACTTAACAAGGGTGCTCTGCAGCAGATACAAGAGCTGCACCTCCGCACTCAAAGGGATAACCAACGTCGTTTGATGATCACTCACGGATGTTCCCGGAGCGAGCTTGACTCAAGCAACGGTTGCGCCCACGTCCCAGCACGATTGTGAAGTTCCACTTCCTGTTTGCTTCTTGGAGCTTTCGGACGGACCGCACCTATCACCAACTACGTTGGAGGCCTGTAATTTTTTTTTTCCTTTTCCTAGACACAAATCTACAAGTTTTGCCCCAAACTCTGTTACACCTGCCTCTTGGGGCAGCACAGGCACGAACTGAGTTCGAGTCTCCTCCCCCAAGATAATTCGCAAAAGGGCGATGATCAACATGGTTCGTGAGCTCTGCCCCTTGTAGCATCATCATCCAATTGGAGTGTAATGAGTTCACAGCGCCTGAAGATTCCCACTGCTTCATCAAAAATTTCCTGCCTCTCAGGCTCGGTCAGCAGTCTGTCCGCCGTCACGACGCAGTCTCTGAACCGGGCCTTGACAAACTCGTCCTCTTCGACGCGCCAGAACGACAGCGGTGGTGGAAAGGCAGTGAGATCCGCCTCGTCGGCAGGTAAACCCCAGAATTCGGGACCGGCCTTGAGGAGCTGCGCGCGAATAAAGCGTCCGCCGTTGAACAGGGCTTGGTACATGATCCATACGTAAGCCACGAGGAGATGCGGCTTTCCGGAGACACATTCCTCAATGTGCTTTCGAATCTCGCTGCCCGCGTGTCCTTGCTCCGAGTCGAGACCGGCCATCTCTGGATCCAGCAGTTTCAGGGCCGCAAAGTCAGCTTGCAGGTGCCTTGTTCGCAAAAGCTCGGGAAGGTATATCATTCGTAGGGCCGCTTGCACTCTCTCCTTGTCGCTCTTGTAGGAGCTTGGCTCGTCGCTGATGTTCCCCATCCATTCTGAGGCGTCCCCAATCTGGGCATGCCAGACCTTCTCCAGGCCCAGAAAAATCTCGGCATACCGCGCAAGTCCCAGTGCATAGATGGCCGGCGACTTTGCTCGGGGCGGGAGACAAAGCGGAATTCGGGCGGTGTTGAGACGGTTGACCTTTCCGTGAACCTCCCTATAATAGTTGACATTAGTTTGGTTGGTGAGTGCGGACAAGTTGAGACCTATACACGAACCTGATTACCTCTTTGATCTTTGAGGGGAGATTGACATCATCCATGTTGACAGTGTCGCTTCCAGGATACGGTTGCTGAGTGGAGGGTACTGAACTCGAGTTTTCCAACTGACCAGCTTGGTGGGAACGGCATGATGTACGGAGCGCGAGCGGTATTTATGTCGTGAAAGCCTCTCTTGTGACGCCTACCCGCTTTTGAAACATCAAGACAAGTACACACCCCCTCGGGAACTGAAAAAGCAATATTAATCTGCGGAATATAGTCAGCTACTGCATTTCGGGACTGAGATGCAGTAGCGAGCGGAAACCTAGCCCGTGATGGCGTGGGGGGAAAGATTGGTCCAATCGAAAAGGCCAGAACAGTCTTGACTGAGTTCCACGATACTCCTAGGACCCACGCCTCGCCCATACCAATAGGGGCAGGGTATGAAGACGAGGGCAAGTTGTAGTTGAAGCAGGAGCATGCAAATTGCCACAGGCGTCATTCAGCGCGAAGAGGGTATCTGGAAGTCTCCGTAGAGTACTTCCTGCGATAACAAGGGCTGAAATCGACCTGACCTGCCGGGAAAGATTTGGCATAAGCCGCATCTTCCCGCATCGTCGGGTTGCAACGCCACGGATCTGGGGGCGGCTGAACGGCATGATAAGGTGTCTGACCTAATAACCACAAGACCCTTGAACAGCTCTTGAACTAGGATTCAGCTGGACGGGGATTCATTCTCGCTCATGCGAGCCATCTACTCTGCAGGCTCATAGTAATTAAAGTCCATGGCAGAATACATTTGCCTCTTGAGATGATGTACTGTATGCAGTATATCAGAGTATCCAATCTGGTTTGATCATTTTCGCCTCTCACTGCAGCTCATCTCGGTTACGGCAGCCAGCTTGCTTTGTCACGCTGAATTATGAAAAAGATGCTGCTCATGTCTCAGGCCAGAGTGCATTCAGGACTTTACACGCCACTGTGTTACCACTCCTACAAAAGCAAAGGCCAAGTGGTCACCGCACACTTTATCGACGGTACGAGGAACACCTTCCAACACGAGGGTGCGTCTTCCATAGCATTGTCATCATATTCGCGGCCGCGACATTTTCAAATCTGCGCCGTAAATCAGCAAATATCGCAGTTTTGTCAAGCCTTCCAAGACCTGGATGTACATCTTTTTAAAACTGCGCTTCCAATGTCTACATACGCCTCATCTTCAGATACCACATGAATGGTGTCACACGTTTACACGGGGGCTACGACACGGGCCCTAGGGCAAAGGTTCTCACCGACTTCTTGTATAAAGAGAGCTCTTTGGTCCATCCAGGTCTTGAGAAGACCAGGGACCTTCAATACCAAAGACTGTTACTAGATGAATTGAACTAGGACTCCAAGCCCTCACTGAGCCCTTGTCACAAGCGGCCAGGCATGTAGCACAGGCGACACCTTGTACACCTTTATCGGTGGCACAATGGGAGCTCAGACGCCGCGAGAGGCCCGACCGATGCTTTTCTGCAGCCTTGGCTTCTACCATCTCCAGTGGTGTTTAATAAAGCAAGAGCATAGTCAGGTGAGATGATGTTCAGGCGGAATGATATAGTCATACACGTTCAGAAGCTAAGTATGAGTTTTTCAAGGAAAAAGAGACTCATAAAGTCATGGTTGGTAGGATCTTGGTTGTGTAAATTTCAGTAACAACAGCAAAACACGATGCTGTGCCATTTCCAACCTTAGGCAAGTGTTTTAGTATTTGGCGTGACATGAAAATACATCAATATTTAACTGGAAATTACCGCTGGCAATGCTTCGGTTTGTCTCGATGGAAACGCATGTTTATTGGTGGGCACAAGCCCAAAACACCAGTCAATTTCTACACAATTTACTGCATCGGAATCTCCAGCTCCCCATGTGTTGGCATATCCATCAGGACTCACACATAGGTGCGGCTGAATGTAAGAGCGAGGATCAGCCAGCTCTTTCAGCTACGCTCAGGCAGGATACCCAAGATTCTACGAGTAACCACGTGTTGGTCGCCTCGTGTTTCATCAGCGGACTGAGCTGTCTAGCCAATGAAGAGTGAGCATAGCCATCGGGGCGTCTTCTCAGCGCAGAGGGTATTTGGACCATCTTATGACTGCCCATCTCTGAATGCTGACGGGTAGAGTATGGCGAGGAAGTTTAAAGATGAGGCGTTGCGGCTGATCAACTGACGTCTGGAAACTTGCACATTACCCATGTTGAGATACAGTGCGGTTTCCTTGACCAGGCCCGGCTACGTGCGGCTATTGCGTCTGAATACTGTGGACCGTTGCTTTGACGTCCGCAAAAAAAGATGTAAACGCTGCATTTACCTCGCTTTAGTGACGTCTTTACTCTGAACTGGAAGCGGCTAGGATTCCTCCTCGGGATTGTCATCCACGGGAACGAGCACAAAAGATGCTGAGTACTTGGTTACCAAGTTAGGATTGGCAGAATAGATGTCTTGCTTGTCATCATTTCTCATACGTCAGGGTCCCAAAAAAAAACATGATGACTTTATGCTTATATGCGACCATTTGAGTCCATGCCCATGCCATCATTGCAAATTATTCGTCACGCTCCCCACCATAACAGCAACCTCTCTATCCCAATTCGCTTCCGTGGCCTTCTCCTTATTCCGCCCCGTGGCAAACGCCCCCGGTGGCTGCGAGCCCTTAATCACAGCCTGGCGAATAGCATCCCCAACGTTGGCCTTATTCGACTTCAGTGATCGAGCAACAACGCCTCCTCTGTTAACAATGTCCTGAACCCGAGAGGCTAGACTGCCCGCAATGGTGCGCCAAAAGTACGATGCTAGTGATCCTGTTTCGAGATGAGCAAGGAGTGGCTGGATGAGGCTTGGTTGTTTGTGGGTTGATGACGTCGGCAGTAGCGGGTGAGCAGGGGGTTTGCTGGCGTGGAGAATGATTTCGAGGGCAATCATGTTTTGACACTTGGACGTGGCTTCGGACAAGGCCCGATCTAGAGAAGGGAGTTGTCCTAGGGAACGAGATAGCGAGGTGATGCTCGTTTGGAGGGACGATCGAATATAGTTGTCCAGGGCGGTGAGGAGGAGGCGCGGTGACCAGCGGTCGGGCTTGACGCCGCATGTAGGTGAGAGGAGATACAAGGCTGCCATGGCGGATTCCAGCTTGGCTTTTGCTTCTTCCCCCTGAGCAAAGGTCATGTTGTTGGGGATGGAGAACTCGCGTACGAACCGCTCGGCTGTTTCGCGGACGGATCGCTCAATGGGCGAAATGACGGTGTCTTGGAGAGAGCGAATGGCATCGACTTTGCCCAGGCCGTGGCCTTCCTCTCCAGGTCCAGTAGCGTCAAGGACCTCGCGAAGAGACAGGATGGTGTATGAACATCGAACTAGTGCTCCGTGGTCTTCCTTGCTTCCAGGGCCACCCAGCTCGGACTGTTGGACTTCCAACTGTCGTCCGAGCTGGAGACAGCGACCAACGGATCGACCGAGACGTAGAGTCTCCCATAGTCGCAGGGAAACTTGTCGAACTTCATCTGCCTCTGCATGTTTGTCGATAACCTCCCTCTCCAATTGCTTGTAGCTGTCGTCGAGGCTCTTGATTTGCGTGTCTAGCTCTGAAACAATGCGCTGGCTGGCCTCGTTTTGCGCTCGTGTATATTCTAGTAACGGGACCGCGGAACGAGTGGTCAGCAGGTCGATGTGCGAATCAACCTCTTGCGCGTCGAAAAGAACTCGTGACAGCGGCGTGGAGAGATCGAGAGGTATGTCGTTGGGGTTGTTGGTCGACACGACAAGCGTGTTGGCGAACTGGGCGGGAGAGAAGTCGGGAGAGAGGAAGGCTTCGTAGTCGATATATGAGGGCTCGTCCGGCTGGATGGTGCTCGGTTCGGCAGCCATGGTGGTGATTAAGAGAGGAGAACTCGAGGGTTTATTGCATCGTGGTGGAGGTGGTCGTTGAGTTTGGCGGGGCCAATTTGGCCAGCTGGCAATGTGATTTGCCTTGGACGAATTTTGTTGAGGTTTACCAGACTCAGACACTACAACAGCGTCACCACGAACCTAGAGTTCAGTTCAATGCCTTGTCAATGTGAGCCGCCGTTATTGTGTAGCGGGATTGTGTTTCGGTGGTTGTATGTGGACTGTGTGTGTGTGGATATGCACAACACCATGACGATTCATGGCTAGACATACGCAGTACAAGCACTTCAGGAAGACTTCAGGATGCTCGGAGCCGTCAGTGCCGACGCCGTGGTGGAGCAATCATGACCCATCCCTGTCAAGTCCATCATGGCCTTGCCGTCGCCGCCTTGCCCGTTGCTAATTGCCGCAACCCACTGAAATTTAGCTCGGATGGACTTGGATGGCGGCCCGCAACATGGGGGAGCGTCATCGGCCTGTGTGAATCATTCAATTCGCACTGTGCTTTTGGCACTCTGTGTGCCCAGGTGGCACTCCACAACGCACTCATCGCACTGTGTGCGTCGCGGCTCTCTCGGCCACCAGCCATCGCCGTGCGTTCCGTAGTCAGAAAACTTCCGCATCTTCCTAATGCTTTTTTCATCCCTCTTAGCTCCTCTCCCCCGACTTTCCTCTCTTCCGGCGGGTTTACTTTGTTTCTAAGTCGGCGTGTTGCTGTTGTTGCTGAGTGACAGCCAGTCTCCTTGTCGTTGTCGCGGACCGCTTCCAGAAATTCTTCTCGAGCGCGCGAATGCTTCAATGCCCAGGTTATAACCCCAATTCTCGTCGACAACGTCCATCAGACACGGCCCGGCCTTCAAGGGGTGCATGAGTGCGGTCCGACAACTGTCGTGTAGCTGCATCTCTAGCAAACAATCTTCAACATGATCCACTTCGACGTCTTTGACGCTCGCGATCTCTTGTTCCAACGAGACGCAAGCTTCCCGCCCGGCGATAACAGTAGTGATACCGTCATTGGCAATATTCACTTCAACGCCACGGCCCTCGATAACAACAATTATACCTTTTACCCGGGCAACAATACATTGTCCAACGTTTCCGATTGTTACCTCGTATTTGCGCCCTACTCGCCAG